TATTAATAACGATTAGATGTAGTAAAAACTTTTTTTTAATTAATTTTCGTATCAATTTTTTTTTTCGATGACAATTACTCATCCGTGTCCAGAATCTCGAATGTGTATTTTTTTTTTTTTTTTTTTTTTTTTAAATCTCCGTAGGTAGTTACGTTGGGAAATAAATTAAAGTGTCAATCTAAACGTGTTTCGAGTATATAGCGAGAAAATGTCATACGTTACCAGTGTGGTGTCAGATCCACTTAGCTGGTCAGTATAGCAAAGTGGACATTTAAATTGAATTTGTTTTTAATAAATATCATTAATGGCAGTTGATTTTTTTTTTGAACAATTTTTTTTTTAAATATCTTTTAAGTAACTTTTCATCAATAATCAATCTAATTAAAAATTAAACAAGTGAACAAAAATTTACACTCCACAAACAAAAATAAATCGTAAATAATAATAATAATAATAATAATAATAATAATAATAATAATAATAATAATATTTTTGGGTTTCAAAGATATAAAAAATAAAAATGTATTAATACTTTTTTAATGATATAAAAAATTAATAAATACAACAATATTATTATATAAATAATATAAATGAAATTATAATTATTATTATTAGAAAATTAATAAATAAAAATAAGAAGATAGTGATACACACACTGACTCACCTTCATTAGCCTTATTCAATAATTGTGTGAAGGAATTAGATCAATGTTTATTATTAATAATATATATATATATATATATATATATATATATATATATATATAATTTATTCATACAGAAATTGTTTATTATCTTCTTATATTTTTTTTACAAGCAAAAAATAACACGCCATTGACATCTATTTAAAAGCAATGGTTACTTTTGAATAATTTATAAAACACACAATTTTTTTTTGTAAAAAAAGAAAGAAAAAAGCGCTCACAAGAAATTATATGAAATATAAATATATATTATTATTATTACATATATTTTAGGATTGTTTAAATGCAAACAACTTTCGTTGTGGACACGTTTAATTTGCTTATTTGTACAATTATAAAACTTTCAACTTTTGCATTTTTCACTATTTCGCAATAGCAACTTTGCTTATCTCTGGTAATCATTTACAGTTATTATAACACTTCCGTGTCTTATATTTTAATAAATGGATTAAATTTAATAAATTGAGGTTAATAATTTTAAATTAAAAAAAAAAAAAAATTTTAATCACTTTTGCTAATTAATTGCGGTAATTATTACTGATTTTTGTTACGATTAATGGTTCTTTTAATTAATGGTAGTTAAAACTAATGGTAATTACAACCAATGTAATGGTAGTTTTAACCAATGGTAATTACAACAAATCGTAGTTATAACTAAGGTAGTTTTAGACGATGGAAATTTTAACCAATGGTAGTTACAACCAATAGTAAATTATAACTAATGGTAGTTTCAACCAATGGTAAATAAAACCAATGTTAGTTATAACCAATAGTAAATTGTAACCAATGATTGTTTAAACCAATGGTAGTTACAACCAATAGTAAATTATAACTAATGATAGTTATAACCAATGGTAAAAAAACCAATGTTAATTACAACCAATAGTAATTCTAACCAATGATAGTTTTAACCGATGGTAGTTTTAAACAATGGTAGTTACAACCAATAGTAAATTATAACTAATGGTAGTTTCAACCAATGGTAAATAAAACCAATGTTAGTTATAACCAATAGTAAATTGTAACCAATGATTGTTTAAACCAATGGTAGTTACAACCAATAGTAAATTATAACTAATGATAGTTTTAACCAATGGTAAAAAACCAATGTTAATTACAACCAATAGTAATTCTAACCAATGATAGTTTTAACCGATGGTAGTTTTAAACAATGGTAGTTACAACCAATAGTAAATTATAACTAATGGTAGTTTCAACCAATGGTAAAAAAAACCAATGTTAGTTACAACCAATAGTAATTATAACCAATGATAGTTTAAACCGATGGTAGTTTTAACGAATGTTAAAAAAACCAATGTTAATTACAACCAATAGTAATTATAACCAATGATAGTTTAAACCAATGGTAGTTTTAACCAATGGTAGTTACAATCAATAGTAAATTATAACTAATGGTAGTTTCAACCAATGGTAAAAAACCAATGTTAGTTATAACCAATAGTAAATTATAACCAATGATAGTTTAAATCGATGGTAGTATTAACCAATGGTAAAAAAAACCAATGTTAATTACAACCAATAGTAATTGTAACCAATGATAGTTTTAACCGATGGTAGTTTTAACCAATGGTAATTACAACCAATGGCAGTTACAATTAATAGAGATTTTAAATAATGGTAGTTACAACAAATGGTAGTTTTAACCAATGGTAGTTACAACAAATTGTAACTATAATCAATGGTAATAATAACTAATGGTAGTTACAACAAATGATAATTACAACTGACGACTAATAGTAATTCCAATATTAATGGTACTTGCAATATATGATTATTATAATGAATGGTAGTTACAACTGACAATTGTTACAACTAAATTGTTACAAAAAATTGTAATTAATTTTATGATAGTTACAATATATTGTTGTTACAATTTATGGTAGTTACAAAATTTTTTTTACAATTACAATTAATGATAATTATAACCAATGGCTGTTACAGCAGTCAGTTTATTTATTTATTTTTTTTTTCAATAGAAAACTAGAAAAGTGTTTCTTTTTCGTTTACTTTAAGTTGAATTTCTCGAAATCAACAAAATGAGAAAGTTGCACTATTATTTTGAATAAATCTCATTCCGCGGTTCACCAAATGTTATTTGACACCTGCAATCGTTATGTGTGTATGTGGTTTCATGTCTTTCAAATCAGGTCAATTCCGCATTCAAGTTCTACTTTTATTCAAAGTAAAAAAAAAAATTTTACTTCAAAGTATCAAATTCTGCAGTAGCTTGTATTATAAAAATTTTACGAAATAAGAAAATTTTTTTTTATTACAATTATTATTTTCCTAATATATATAAAACTTTTTTCTTTTGTTTCTTATAACGAATGATTTGATTGTATTAGAATTACATTACAAAATCGATGGCTGCATGAGGTCCGCATTCACGCGTCCTTGAAGTCTAGTTTTAATGGTTCTTATATATATGCTATATATACTTTTGATTTCATTTCCGACGAGAAGAGAATCGTCCATATCACCGTGTTCAACCTCTGAATTATATGATACATAGTCGTAATTTAGGTGTGGCGAAAGTTGCACTTAATTTTTTTTTTTTTTTTTTTTTTCATTTTATAGGATATATACGTATACAAAATCTCGCGTCAATTTTGTAACCATTTAATTAAACGCATTTATATATTGAAGTGTAAAAAGTTATGCCAATTTTATTCACGATATATATTATATATTGAGGATTGCAGGAAAAAAAATTTAATTTCCTCATCTGACAATTTTTAATTAAAAGGGAAATCATAATTTTACCACTTTTTTTTTTTTTTTTACTTTAGTTATTTTTCCTGTTTTCTCTGTTTATTTCGAATTTTACGAATGTTAAATGTAAATTAGATCAAATACGGCTAATTTAATTAGACCTTAAATTAAATAAAAGAAATTAATTTAATTAATTAATTTTAAATTAAATTAATTGAAAATTTAACCAATTAACTAAGATTAGAGAAAATAATTAAGTAATTTAAATAGAATACAAAATAATACGCGGAAAAAAAATTCAAATAATTGGTGGACTATATTTATTTGCTTTAAGTATAAATATTTACTTGATAATAGTCAAGCGATTATTTGAATGAAATAAATTTTTCTTTCACTGTATTTTAAATATGAATTAGAAAATAATAATTTAAGTCGAATAATTTATTTAAATAATTAATTTATTTTTAATCATTTATAATTATTTTTTTATATATTTAATAACGATTATGATTTTATTTGATTTTGTCGTGTCTATTGTTTTGATTCTTAAAAAAAAAAAATTATTTTTTTTTCTTTCGAAAGAATGCACTTTTCTTTTTAATATAAAAAAGAAAATTGAAGGTTATTAAAAGGCTGACGTCTTTGGTAAGACGTTTCTCCACGTTTGAAGACTTTTAGTGAGAGTCGGCGGTGCGTCTGAATATCTCGAGCGAGCGAGTGCAAATGTCTATGGCAAAACTTTCGCACATATTCAACGCATGTAGACATTTCTTTATATTATATATGTATATATATATATGTATATATATATATATATATGTATATATATATATGTATATATATATATAAATTTAATATTACTTAGCTAATTGTCGTGAGAGTTTTTTCTTTTCAAAACTCTTATAATAAGAGGAGGAATTTTTCACGATATCACTTTACTAAAATCGTCATTTTTCTTCTTTTGATTTGAAATTTCCCTTTTAATTTTCATATTAATTTAATGTAAGAAAACTCATCAAGTAGAGCGTGACATAGTGAGCGCAATTTATTCAAAAAACTGAAAAAAAGGAACTTTCGAGAAGAACTCTTTAAATCAGAATATATATATATATATATATATATATATATATATATATATATATCACTGAAATAGAAATTATTCCATAAATATCCGTTTATAAATCATAAATCATAAACAAATCGTAAAAGTTACATTATTAATATTGGAGAATATAATAGAGTTGTATCTAAGTTGTAAAATAAAACTAATTATTATTATTTTTGTTTTTTTTTATTTACTTCTTTATTTATTATTTGCTTTTTTTTATTTAAAGCAAATAAAATAAGATTTATTTTAAACCAAATAATTTCTGTTGTTAATCAAATCGTAATTGTTTCAAGTACTGAAATTATTGTTTCAAATACAATTTATTTAATTTAAATAAAAATTATTTGGTTCAAGTAAAAAAAAATTATTTGGTTCATGTAAATATTTATTTGATAATAGTAAATTGTTTAGGTAAAAAAAAAAAAGAAAAAAAAACAGGAAAATGAAGAGTCTTAATTCTACATTGACATCTTTATTCAGTGAACCTTAGATCTAAGAAGACAATAATCTTATATTTTACACAATATATTTACAATTAGGTTTTCACTGAATATAATGAAAAATTAAAAAAAAAAAAAAAGAATCATTCACACGTAGGAGAGAGAGAGTCCTCCTTGGTAACATATATCGGGTGCGTGCATGACCGACCTTGTCAAATCTGATGCACATTGGTCTGTGATATTTTTTTTTTTTTTTTTTTTTTTTTTTACCTACGTAATGAGATATTACAGTTTACAAAGTAATAAATATTATATTAATGACTCTGGTCGCATGCGTCTAAACGCATCTACTTAATAATATATTTAATCGTCTTTTTGCTTGGCAGTGTGTTACACAGATCTGTGGATACAATATATTATTATTAAATTAATTCACACATGCAAAAATAAAAACACAGAAAATATGACACATTTTTAATAAAAAAAAAAAATTTTGCCAAACTTTTTTAGAAATATTTTACGAAAGGACTAAATTATTTTATTAAATTTTTGTTTTGACAATTATTAACAAGCAAATTAATTAATATAATTTATTATTTGCTCCATTTATAATTTTGTTTATAATTTATTTTATTTTTATCTAATTTATAAATTATTCTATATTCATAATGTAGAATAAATAAAATTATATTGTAGGTAACTTATTTAATTTAGGATTATTTATTAAATTCTTTATAACTTATTCAATTTCACGTATATTATTCACTTTATCATAAGATATTTTATTAAACTATTTTTTTTTATTATATTTTACTTATTTCAAAAGAAACAATTTTCTTTTAAAATAATTGTTTTTTTCCCTTATAAAGGAAAATTATTTTTTTTTTTCAAAATTATTACAAATTTTCATATTTAACTAAAAGAATCAAATAATGATAAAATTTTAAATTTATTTTTATTAATTAACTTTTAATGTTACTTTTTTTTTTTCTTTGAAAATTATTAATAAGTGAAAAATATTATTTTCTGTAATTTTATCATTTTTCTTTTTTTCTTTTTTTGAATTTATTAAAACTAATATTGTCGTTTGCGCTTTCACAAGCGAATTGTGTCTTCTTTTATACGTCATACACTCCATGTCATCGCAAAAAAAAAAAAAATATTATAATTGCGAAATTTCATTTTACCGAATTATTATATATCGAGGACATCCAGCTTTTAATTTCGGTTTGTGAAATTTCCGCTCCTTGTTATCCGACCTCGACATCCGGTTAAATCATGGCATTTCTTGGCAATTTCAAATTAGTAGAAATAAGCGAAGAAAGCTGAAACAAATAAACAAAGAGAAATTGAGAGACGTGTAAAGAAATGAAAAAATAAGAGAAAGAAAGAACAAGGCAAAAAAAAAAAAATAATAAAGAAAAAGAGATGCGGAAGTGGCATTGAAGTTAAAATGCAGAAAATTATATTCTTAAAGGCGTGACTTCTGAATCTTTTAAGTTTTACATATTATAGAATACATTAAAAATCATCAAGCGAGAAATTTACTAATAAAACTTTTAAAAAGATTCTCTTGAATTAATAATTTGAAATTTTTTGCATTAAATTAATTTAGTTTACAAAAAATGTGCAAATTTAGAAAAAATTGTTCCGAAATTTTGAGTTTTTGGAATATAACAATATTCAATTCAATTCCAATCGGGTTCTCTAAAACCAAACACATCGTTAGCTCAATTGGTTAGAGCACCCTATCCACACGTAGAAAAAGTCGGTGTTCGATTCCCGCCATGGGAGATAATAGATTTGATTTTTTTTTCCGTTAGTTCACGAAGAAAGAAATAAATGAAAAATAATTGAATAAGAATATAAATAAAATAGATTATAGATAGTTAAACAAATAGGAAAAAAAATTAATTAACTTACGATAAAAAAATAAAAAAATTAGTAATTTTAATAATTAATTAATTAATAATCTAAATATCTAAGCTCTGCAATAAAAATAGATTTAGAAATGTGTGGGGAGTGGTTGTTCGCGAAATAATAGAGATGCGATGATAGCTCTCGATTTAATTAACTTAGAAAACAAATCTGTGTGCTCTTATTTGAAAAGAAAGTTTTGATAGCACTCATTCTTCTACAAGAAGAACTTCCGCTATTTATCACGAATATTTAATTTTCTACACCGCACAGTACAAAATTAATTTCAGCAATTAACAAAATTTTCTGATAAGAAAGTATCAATTAATTTAAAATATAGAAAGTATTAACGAAAATACATACGAGGCGAAATCCAAGAATGAGATGAATGTTACTTAAAACTATTTTAATGATTATTAAATATTTTTCCAAAAAAATTAAATTTTCTTTAACTCTCTTGATTTTTAATAAGAAAAATAATATTTTTTTCTATTTCACAAATTTATCTCAATTTTATCCAAAATTTCTTCTTGTATTCCATATCATAGTCTCTTCACCAAATAAATTTTTTTTTTGCTTAATATTCAATTTTACAAAAGTAGAAACAAAATAGCAAAAAAAAAGTCTAAAGAAAAGCCTTCAGATATTCTCTCAAACCTTTTTTTTTAAATTATATTAAATCCAATATTATATTTGATTTGATATTGATTAGAATTTTCTTATTAGATTTTTCATGAGTACATATAATTTAAAAATATGACCTTGTCGACTTTCTAAAATATTTCAAAGTGAATAAATATCGCGCTTGTCAGTAACTGTGAAACGAGAGTGTAACACGTTGATTAACGTATCGGAAAAATTGAAACCGTGTCGAGTGAGTAAGAAAATAATTACACTAACAGTATAAAATCAGAGCATTCCAACTTCAATATATAAAGCAAAATGAGAGGTTTCTTTGCACACGGAAAATATATATATATATATATATATATATATATATATATATATAAATAATTGTTTCACGAAACAAAATTTCGCAAAAGATTCATTTTTTTTTATTTTACTAATTATCGCACGTGACAATTATTTTAATGCTCAAAATAAAAAATCCAATTCATTAAACTATAATGGTTGTAAATTTACGCACGTTTCCTTTTTTTGTATTATTAATGATTATAATTACTTGTTTTAGAAAATATTAATAATATTCATTGGGGAATTTATAATCCAAATTATTTATCTAAATAAAAAAAAAATGAAAATTCAGTATTTGTTATTTTAAAACAAAAAAAAAGGATGTGATATAATAAACAAGGACGCGAATTATTTTTTTTTTTTTTAATTATTATCTATTTGCATTTTCATTAGTTTCCGTTTCCCTTATTTATATAATAAAAAAAAATAGAAAGATTTCTTTTTTTAAAAATATTTGTTTCATTATTTATTTAAATATATTTTATTCAAGTAATTATTTAATATTAAAAAATTATAATTCTAATGCAAATTATATTTGAAAACCAAAACCATAGCAACCGTTGGTATCTGTTGCTATTGTAACTATTTCCATAAAAACTGTTGCCATGGTAACCATTTCCATGGAAGTGATTTCCATAGCACCGTTGCTACAGTAACCGTTTCTATGGTAACCAATACAATAGCAACTGTTGCTATGGTATTATTTTCCGTAGTAACCGTTGCTATGGTATCCGTTTCCATGGTAACCATTTCCACAGTACCGTTGCTATGCTAACCATTTCCGTAGTAACCGTCGCTATGGTATCCGTTTCCATGGTACCCACTTCCATGGTAACCATTTCCACAGTACCGTTGCTATAGTAATCGTTTTCATAGAAACCGTTGCCATGGTAACCATTTCCATGGAAGTGATTTCCATAGCACCGTTGCTACAGTAACCGTTTCTATTGTAACCAATACAATAGCAACTGTTGTTATGGTAACCATTTCAACGGTACCGTTGCTATAGTAATCGTTTCCATAGAAACCGTTGCTATGGTAACCATTTCCATAGTAACCGTTGCTATGGTATCCGTTTCCATGGTAACCATTTCCACGGTACCGTTGCTATAGTAATCGTTTCCATATAAACTGTTGCTATAGTATTATTTTCCGTAGTAACCGTTGCTATGGTATCCGTTTCCATGGTAACCATTTCCACAGTACCGTTGCTATGGTAACCATTTCCGTAGTTACCGTTGCTATGGTATCCGTTTCCATGGTAACCATTTCCACAGTACCGTTGCTATGGTAACCATTTCCGTAGTAATCGTTGCTATGGTATCCGTTTCCATGTTAACCATTTTCACAGTACCGTTGCTATAGTAATCGTTTCCATATAAACTGTTGCTATGGTATTTTTTTCCGTAGTAACCGTTGCTATGGTATCCGTTTCCATGGAAACCATTTCCACGGTACCGTTGCTATAGTAATCGTTTCCATATAAACTGTTGCTATAGTATTATTTTCCGTAGTAACCGTTGCTATGGTATCCGTTTCCATGGTAACCATTTCCACAGTACCGTTGCTATGGTAACCATTTCCGTAGTTACCGTTGCTATGGTATCCACTTCCATGTTAACCATTTTCACAGTACCGTTGCTATAGTAATTGTTTCCATATAAACTGTTGCTATGGTATCCGTTTCCATGGTAACCATTTCCACGGTACCGTTGCTATAGTAATCGTTTCCATATAAACTGTTGCTATAGTATTATTTTCCGAAGTAACCGTTGCTATGGTATCCGTTTCCATGGTAACCATTTCCACAGTACCGTTGCTATGGTATCCGTTTCCATGGTAACCATTTCCATAGTACCGTTGCTATGGTAACCATTTCCGTAGTTACCGTTGCTATGGTATCCGTTTCCATGGTAACCATTTTCACAGTACCGTTGCTATGGTAACCATTTCCGTAGTTACCGTTGCTATGGTATCCGTTTCCATGGTAACCATTTTCACAGTACCGTTGCTATGGTAACCATTTCCGTAGTTACCGTTGCTATGGTATCCGTTTCCATGTTAACCATTTTCACAGTACCGTTGCTATAGTAATCGTTTCCATATAAACTGTTGCTATGGTATTTTTTTCCGTAGTAACCGTTGCTATGGTATCCGTTTCCATGGTAACCATTTTCATAGTACCGTTGCTATAGTAATCGTTTCCATAGAAACCGTTGCTATAGTATTCGTTTCCATAGAAACCGTTGCTATAGTAACCGTTTCCATAGAAACTGTTGCTATAGTAGCCTTTTCCGTAGTAACCGTTGCTATGGTAACCAATTCTATAACAACCGTTTCTATTGTAACCAATACAATAGCAACTGTTGTTATGGTAACCATTTCAACGGTACCGTTGCTATAGTAATCGTTTCCATAGAAACCGTTGCTATGGTAACCATTTCCATAGTAACCGTTGCTATGGTATCCGTTTCCATGGTAACCATTTCCACGGTACCGTTGCTATAGTAATCGTTTCCATATAAACTGTTGCTATAGTATTATTTTCCGTAGTAACCGTTGCTATGGTATCCGTTTCCATGGTAACCATTTCCATAGTACCGTTGCTATGGTAACCATTTCCGTAGTTACCGTTGCTATGGTATCCGTTTCCATGGTAACCATTTTCACAGTACCGTTGCTATGGTAACCATTTCCGTAGTTACCGTTGCTATGGTATCCGTTTCCATGGTAACCATTTTCACAGTACCGTTGCTATGGTAACCATTTCCGTAGTTACCGTTGCTATGGTATCCGTTTCCATGTTAACCATTTTCACAGTACCGTTGCTATAGTAATCGTTTCCATATAAACTGTTGCTATGGTATTTTTTTCCGTAGTAACCGTTGCTATGGTATCCGTTTCCATGGTAACCATTTTCATAGTACCGTTGCTATAGTAATCGTTTCCATAGAAACCGTTGCTATAGTATTCGTTTCCATAGAAACCGTTGCTATAGTAACCGTTTCCATAGAAACTGTTGCTATAGTAGCCTTTTCCGTAGTAACCGTTGCTATGGTAACCAATTCTATAACAACCGTTTCTATTGTAACCAATACAATAGCAACTGTTGTTATGGTAACCATTTCAACGGTACCGTTGCTATAGTAATCGTTTCCATAGAAACCGTTGCTATGGTAACCATTTCCATAGTAACCGTTGCTATGGTATCCGTTTCCATGGTAACCATTTCCACGGTACCGTTGCTATAGTAATCGTTTCCATATAAACTGTTGCTATAGTATTATTTTCCGTAGTAACCGTTGCTATGGTATCCGTTTCCATGGTAACCATTTCCACAGTACCGTTGCTATGGTAACCATTTCCGTAGTTACCGTTGCTATGGTATCCGTTTCCATGGTAACCATTTCCACAGTACCGTTGCTATGGTAAC